GCCCACCACGGGTATCGAAACCCGGTTTCTAGCGTTGTAAGTCCGCAGACATTCCGCTGTGCCACTGGGGGGCCAAATATTATAGGAATTATGAGTGAAAATATCGTTAATAACAAGGGGACCCAAATGATGATCCAAAGGATATTAGTTAGTGTTGATTTGAGTTTTTTGGTTTATGATATTAAGGGCTTCTAACCAGTTTTGCATAAAGTTGGCTTAATTAATTTAAAGGTTAATTATTGGTTGTGATACATACAGTTTATATATAATAGTTTTGATGAGCATTTCTTACTAATTAGTCATAAGCGTAAAAATATCAAAACCGTAAATACTCTAGTAATTATAACATTCCTTTAGTGAACACTAAAACCTGGTGAAAACCGTAAAACATGTTATGTATGGGAAATGTTGATGTCAAATTTACATATTGAATATAGACGTATAGACAAAAACTACTAGAATGAAGTGGGGGCGTACTTTATCAACTTGATACTAATTGGCTATTGACGTAGATTATTACCTATGAATGATGACGGAGTCAAGTTGGATCTTTCATATGATAACATTAAAGGGTGGGATGCCAATAACATGGTCCATGGCATCGAATAATGATTACATAATTGAATTAATTGTAGTTGATAATCACTTGTCTGTAGGTTATATGTCATTTGTTTGCATTCAATTTTATTGTATTAAGTAGCTGGCGTAACCCGCTATATAACCCGGCGACATCTTTTCTTACTTTTTACGAAAATCCTTATGACTTGATTTAATTTCTATGTTCTATAATCAACTGACAAATCTGTAGTTGGGTTCGGTAAAATATAATAAACTTTTACACTCAAAGTATAAGCTCCAAGTTCATTATATCGCTAAGCTTTATTAAAGAATCTGAAATGAATTGAAAACTGTATACCTTTTTTAGAAATATTTAATGTTTTGACTGTCGTTTCGGTTGCAAACTCAAACACTATTATTGTGTTAACCCAGTTATTGGTCAGAAACTTTGCATATTGAAAAGTCAGTAAGTTCAAATGTAGAATAGAGAATAAGATAATTTCGTTACTTTAAGTAACTGTTTATTTGCACAGAATTATTTATGAACGTTTTTACGCGTACTTCGAGTTAATTTGTTTTTCATTAATGGCATGTTAACCGTTCATCGTTACTAAATGCGCATGCACAGCGACTTCAATCACATGACAGACATAGACCTTTCAAGAGTCAAAGTTTATGAGCACTTACATTACGTTCGTTACCACATGTTGAAGTCCTAGTTAAATGTTTAATGCATACACACATAAGTAATTTTAATAAAAACAAGTTTTTATGCTAATTCCTTCAAATTTATCAAGTCGAATACGACATATTATGGTATTATGTTAGAATTTCTACTCTATAACTAAAAATCATCATCACAGGAGTTAAGACAAAGAAGCTCTACTGATATATTAATTTGTACAAATTAACTCCTAATGTAACAAAACGGTTTAAGTTGTTATATAATTCGTGAATTTATCCAAATTGACTTAGTTATATTATATTTATGTACCCAAGAACATCAAGTATATTTCTAGTATATTATAAATTATCTTATAAAAAATTTAGCATTGATTTTCCATTAAAAAATTATTGAAATGTAGATAATGAACATTCTATTTGAAATGATTTCTTCATTAAGCATTTTATTATATTGACTTCTCTAACTTGAAACTGCAAAGAACAAACAAAAGTAACTTCTTTGAAAGTTTACTATTAATTATAGATAAAAGATTAGTTAGTTGCCGATTGTTCGATCAGCAATACAATTAATTAAATAATAGGAATTGATATACTTCAAAGTTTATCGTTTGTGGATAATCTTAGAAATATACATAAGTCTAAAAACGTGAAAAGTTTAGATGTAACTCAGATCAGATGTGTAGCAATGGTCATTTGTATTAACATATTTCACCTTTATGAGAATGAAAGCAGTTTTAATTCTGTAGATTCAGAAAGAATGGTGGAAGTTATACACTGCAGCTTGTAAAGTATACGAGCGACATAATTTCTCTGATATATAACATTAAATCCATAGCTGTAAAAAAAAAATTGTGAAACTATTATAAAACTAACTACACTTTTAGTACTGAGAGCTTTAACACAGAATTGTACTTTTTCTTGTATTGAACAATGAATAATTTTTAATTTAGTTAATAAAATTACAATATGACAATAATTAACAGCCTATTATAGAGCTAAATATGGAGGATGTTCATGGTCTACTGTAATAATACAAGAATACGTACTTAGGCCTTAAAATCCTTTTTTCCACTACCAATAGTGTTTTAGCTAAAGAACTGATTACTGTAGGAAGTTGAATGTTTACAGTACGCAGAAAACTATCACTATAATACATAATAATTTCACCATTATAAGAAGTCTAGTCCCGATTTTTCTATTTCCTACTGTCCAGAGTTGCTGAGGAGAAATGGAATTCCCAAAAGCTGATATTACTCAGTGCCAAGTGGTGGATCAAGTTACACATTGAAATTCATATTTATTATATTAAACATCTTATCTGCTAAATATTTAATAATATTAAATTAATAATATCGATTCTACATATAGTTCAAACCTACATAAATGTAGTGAGTGAAAGACAACTAATACACTATACCTAAAACATACAGTTAACCACTGTTTGTCCTTCTCCAAGGTTACTTGTCAGGGATGGAAAACTGGTATAACTAGGTGACAATGGTAAATCCAGTAATAGATGAAGTTTTATACTTAGTTTTAGTAACTTCGTGAAGAGCAAAGTGTTAATTGTTAAATCTGGTTTAGAAGTAGCTTCGATTAGGACCATAAGAACTTTGTTAAATACTACACAGAACTGTATGGTATGATGGGAAAACTGAACATAAGGTGTGGTCGAAGTGGAACAAAACACTATTAAGATGTGTGAGATTATTATTAGGAAGGTAACTAAGCAGGTTGGATAAATGATGATGTAGTAGAAAAAGTACTAAACGTTTCTGATAATTATAAGATTGATATTAGGAAGACAGTTAAACAGGGTGGATAGATTATAATATAACAGAAACGATTCAAAGCGCTGCCGAGAAGTATAAGGCTGATATTAGGAAGACAGTTAAACAGGATGAATAGATTATAGTATAACAGAAAAAGTTCTAAGCGCTGCCGAGAAGTATAAGGCTGATATTAGGAAGACAACTAAACACGGTTGATAAATTATGGTACAGTTTAAAAAGTGCTAAGCGCTGCTGAGAAGTATAAGGTTGATTTTAGGAAGACAGTTCTAAAAAGTTGAAAAACTATGGTGTGGTAGACGAGAAGTCCCTATGCCTATATTTTAGCTATGCCACAGTGCACTAATGTCATCAAAACTTCTCATATACTAAAGAGGATCCTCGATTGGACGTACTGTTGTGACCTATACACTGTAAACGCTGCAAAGCTCACGTGTTTTCTCAAGACTATATTTGATTTAAGGTTAATTTCTTAATTACTCATTTTTGCTTTCTTTGACTCTAGATACTTTAAAATTCTTTTATTTAGAGGAATATTTCTTTTCAAGAGTTTATATACTTTAAAGATTCCTTCTTTAAAATCATTATTTTTATTTAGTCAAATCATATATTACTTCATAGATCACTTCTTACCATATAGTTTTTTCTGTGTTTAGTTACTTCAAAATTCATTTATTTTGGACTTATACCTATGTAAGAGGAAATCCAATAATATCAATGAGAAATAACACAAACTTGTTTTCTTTCTATTATTTATACAGACACACACATATAGTGTTGAACATTCATGAATAAGCAAAGCACGAATTAACTCTGTTTACGAACATGGGTGCATTTCGTACATAACGTCTAGGTTGCATTCTTTGATAACATGAGTATAGCTTGGTCCAGGAGCTTATATTAACCGATTGAAATTGCTCATCAGTTATTTTTTCACACGCACTAGATATATTATTTAAAACAATCGAGGGAAAAACATACATAAATCATGTTAGCCATGCGCGGCTGGTAATTGGAGGATTACGTAAATAAAGGCCCATTTATAAGGCTAACAGTGCGTCCGAGTTTTAATAGATGACGTCGAGAAGAAACGTTTGGCAGATAGCCATATACGAAAGGCTAACCAAACCCACGCAGTACGAAACAGTCAGTGGTTAGGAACAGTCACTCAGTCAAGCCGATAAATAAGGAAAACAACTCAGGTCTAGGCTGCGTCGATTGTTAGCAAGCTGATGCTCCAGAATGACTAAGAAAGAAGAGAAGAGTAGAATATGCTTTCAGAGAAATTATCCTTCCCTTATTATCGCTTCTGTGTGTTATCAAAATTAAACTATTTGTTTCCAGAATTCTTGCTAGCAACTGTTAACCGCATCAAATGTGAAAGTTCAGATTTATTATAGAAAAGCATTGTTGTTAACAAGTATACGGAATGGATTTGAAAACTTTATTAAGGTATAAGATATGCTATATAAAGATATTCGATTGGTAAGTTCAGCCAAACTGTTCTAAGAACGTGAAATTATAACGTTCTCTTAGCTTTGAAAAATTGTGCGTCCTTTTGTAGATGTTACTTGGAGAGAAAAAGAGACGGCCGATTCTCAAAGATCTTTCACCAAAGAGGTAGAGTGTTAAGCGGGATTACTGTTCGTTAAGAGTTTTGTGCGCATCTATTTTTGAGAACTTTAGTAAATAAGAAACATAGAGATATCTATGTATATACATGATGAACATGACGTAAATTATATGACTTATGAAAGAATGAACTCTATTAAATTAAGAATACCTCCAAATGTAGTATGTTTCTATCATTACAGGAGACAAGGATATTTACTTAGTAACAAAGTCCATCATTGTCCATATTGGAAGTTCTGTAAGTAGAGTAGCCTTACATAGTTCTGAAAGTAGAGTAAATTTACATAGTTCTTTAAGTAGAGTAGACTTACATAGTTCTGTAAGTAGAGTAAACTTACATAGTTCTGTACGTAGAGTAGACTTACAAAGTTCTATAAGTAGAGTAAACTTACATAGTTCTGTACGTAGAGTATACTTACATAGTTCTATAAGTAGAGTAGACTTACATAGTCCTGTAAGTAGAGTAGACTTACATAGTTCTGTAAGTAGAATAGACTTATATAGTTCTGTAAGTAGAGTAGACTTACATAGTTCTGTAAGTAGAATAAACTCACATAGTTCTGTAAGTAGAGTAGTCTTACATAGTTCTGTAAGTAGAGTAAACTTACATAGTTCTGTAAGTAGAGTAGACTTACATAGTTCTGTAAGTAGAGTAGACTTACATAGTTCTGTAAGTAGAGTAGACTTACATAGTTCTGTAAGTAGAGTAAACTTACATAGTTCTGTAAGTAGAGTAGACTTACATAGTTCTGTAAGTAGAGTAGATTTACATACTTTATTAGCTATTGAAGCATATAATGGTTCAGTTAAGTAGTTTTTACTCCAACAAATGCTGTAAAAATACAGAATATATAATTTTTACAGGCTAGAAACTTTTTACATTACAGTTACATATATTATAAAAAGTGGATTTTATAAAATAAAGAAAATCCAGTCCCTAAATTTTTTTACAGAAAATAACATTAATATATTAGTAATAAGGACCTATTTTTCCATAATTACTGATTACGAAAACGCACTTCTTGATAGTGTTTTATGTAAAATAGTAATACATCCATTACCACAATAGCAGTATAAGGCGTCTGTATGGTAATATTATGCTCTTTTACTGAACCATTGTTATAGATCTCGTTCCTCACGAAAGTGTTAAGTAAGGAACGACTATCACGAAACACGTGTAAATGACGATAGCTACGAATGTCGTTTCACAAAGACAAATGACATATCCATCAATGATTTCCCAGTAAATGCTCTTGCTAGCTTATAGTATATCTATGATATATGTTAGTTTGAGACAGTTTCATAAGTTTCATTATCAAATTAAAACCGTATGTATTTGTTCGTACAATATTTGTACAGTTTGTTCACTTATTTGTTCTTCCACTTATTTCCCTGGCAAGATAATAGTTTCTAAGCTTTTGATGTGTTTAACACCTGTTTTAAGACTGTGCAATTCAAAGGTTTCTGCAATACGTAAATCTTGCTGGAGAAATTACAATAAACGAAGTCAACTATCCAGAATATGTCAGGAATATTGTTCGCGTTCTCTTATAACTGTGATATTTATGCAATCTTTTCAATTGTCTGCAGTAATTTAGCATTGGTGTTGCTAAATAAAGTATCAAGATAAAGTAGAGTATGTCGAATACGGTAGTAATCTTGTTGGGATTTCTTATGGCTGTGATATTTATGCAATCTTTTCAATTGTCTGCAGTAATTTAGCATCGGTGTTGCTAAATCAAGTATCAAGATAAAGTAGAGTATGTCGAATACGGTAGTAATCTTGTTGGGATTTCTTATGGCTGTGATATTTATACAATCTTTTCAATTGTCTGCAGTAATTTAGCATCGGTGTTGCTAAATCAAGTATCAAGATAAAGTAGAGTATGTCGAATACGGTAGTAATCTTGTTGGGCTTTCTTATGGCTGTGATATTTATGTCCTCTTTTCATCTTTTCTTCAGCCACCTATTACTGATATTGCTAAAGTAAGCCTTAAGATATTGAGGGGAAAATACCGATAACCAATGAGCACACGTTCATCTTTAGAGATTCCATTTTTGTGTTTGAAAAGAATTTCAAGCCGGAAACTATGTAAAAACAAATAATCCTGGTCGATATTTACAGATAAAACCTATCAAGTGATCACATTATTGATCCAAATAACTTCTGATCAATATATATATTGCACAATTGCATGTGTGAAGTCAGTCAATCACGTTCTCTGATGTTTAGAGTACAATTAACTGAAATTATAAACCTCTTTCACACAAATGTGTGTTTAAATGTTGTGACCTGTATACAACTTTGTCCTTAAGTTTGAGGTTACTCCATTAAGAATACCTTGAAAATTTACGAAACGTTCTTCAAAACTGTTAGAGGTTATTCTTAACCAGTTTATCTTAACACGTAAACTAAAATCCAAATAATTCAAAACTTCTATTTATTATACTGAGATTGTCAAAGAATAGCCCAAAACAACCCAGATTATTCAATATTCTATTCATTATATTATTACGTAATAGCGTTTTACCACCATAATCTCAAAGTATTTACAATAGTTTTAAGTTATTCAGCTCTTTAAGGCAAGCATATGTTGTCTTTTTAAAAAAGAAGTTAGGGCAGAGAAGATTCTACTTAATTGGAGATTTGTATTAACTGCGTATTACAGAGAAGTCACCAGTCAAATGTGTGTTTCATCACCATTTCTTTCAAGTCTCTCATTCAAAGATGAATTAGAAAATGATATATTAAAAATGCTTTATTATATAATGTTTTTTATGTTTATATTCTGTAAGTTAGCGACGCTTATACGTTATAATATTTTATGTTTAAACATAAACTTTTTATTTCACTGACGTTTTTTTATTTCTTAATTTCTGTGTGATTTATAGGGCTAACTTTGAGCACAGTGACAAGAAAGAATATTCCATCTGAAGTTGACTTCGTATCCTGGCAGTGTTTTCCTTCGAAGATTGACTAAAATAGAAAAATAGCATTACTGTTGCACTTAGAAACCACCTTTAGAAGTTGTTGCTGTTGTGATTGTATTTGAGATCGGCGGATGGTGTTTTAATAATGGAGAGTCCAGTTTTATTGCCTCACATAAACATGACTGAAGAAGAGTATCTTGAAGTTAACATGGGACCTCAACAAATAACGTTAGTAGTGGTGGTGCCCATTACAGTTGTATACGGGCTGATTTTTGTCAGTGGAATTATTGGAAATGTAATCGTGTGTTTGGTTATCACCAGAAACTCCCACTTTCAGACACCAACCAACTACTACCTGTTTTCTCTAGCTATTTCCGACTTGCTCATTTTATTATTTGGTAAGTCAAATTTGTATTACTTATCAATATTTCATTTAATTTTATAATGTGTATTTTGTTTTAGTATTTTCTAAGCATTATTCGATAAATTAATAGTTTTTCATTCTATAAACTTATTTAAAGAATTATCATGGAATGCAACAATATTTAAAAATATGGTTGATTTGTTTAAAGTAACGGGATATTGGCCTATCTGCTGTTTCAACCGCGTGGAATCGAACCATATATGCTAGTATTGTAAGACCGGTGTCTCACAGGGGGACAATAATACTTAAACTCATTGAAAGTTTAATATATTAGATAAAATAAATTATCATAACTCTGAACTATGAAGTGAAATATATTTTTCACTAGTTTCTGAATACGCATTCTCTCTTTTTTTTTTTTTTACTCAAAAATTATTTTCTAAAGATCTTGATGGAATATTGAGGAATATTGAATCCTTTCTTATTTAACGGATTACGAAATATTGGTCCTTATGCTAAGTTTTGGTTTCAGGTGAGATCTTAGCAAAACAAAACGCTTATTTGCTGAAACAACAAACAAAACAAAACAAATCAAGGCGAGAACCCCGTCTGAGCGACATACAAATCATATCAAATTTAAAAATTGTCGAAATTGTATTATATTTACTGAAATGTGCCAAGACGTATATTGGATGAAATATAAATGGTTGTAGTTAAATTGAACGGTGCTAAGAAGCGTCAGATGTATGTTAAATAAATTCCAAAATTGTCAAAATATACGTTTTTTATAGTGCCATGACGATAGAAAACTGAATTTTTACATAAAATATGAATTCACCAAAATTCTTCTCACTATCTTAAATAGATTTCAAACTTTTGAAAATTACGCCCTATTGTTCCGCATAGTTTTGTAAGAAGTATAGTACATAAAATCATAATTATTAATTTTTGTGTATGTCGCTTGGCTTAAAGGTAGCAAGATTTGCACTAGGAAACTTAAATTCTTTTAAACTCTATTCTTCAAATGTGCTGATATTAAATTTTCACCCACAAATCATAGCTAGCAACTTAGTATTTTCAAATATTCCCTAATAAACTGGATCTTATTTTTTCTCCCTTAAACATCCCTTCGTAATATTTGTTTTTATTAACTGCAATACCACAGTGAATCAGTGGTCAATTTAGAGACTTGCAATAATAATAATCCGGTGTTCGATTCTCCTTGGTGGACAGAGCGCACATAGCCCATAGTATAGCTTTGTTCTAAACTAAACACACGCACATGAATTATATATGTAAAGCGAATATTGTTTATTTAGTGGAAATTCATGTCGTTTACATAGAAACTGACATTCCGTAAAACTGTCTGAAAAATACACTAGTTACTGTATTTAGCTACTCTTTTCTGCAGTTTAAGAAATATATCTTGTACTAATTATATTGTTTTGCATTTACATGTTTAAACTCAAAAATATGATCGTAAAATATTAAACTCAAACAGCAGAAAAGCGCAAAAGAAGAAAAGAAGAGTTTGATTTGGATATCCTGATAAAGCTATACCAAAGTTATCTATACCAGCCGTCCTTAATTTTGAAATGATAGGCTAAAGGGAAGGCAGCTACATAAAAACACCCATATTTAACCATTTGACTACTATACTATTTAGCCCAAAGAGCAGAGCGATTTTTTTCGGCAACGGGACACAAAGCTTGAACTACAGGACCATGTCCGGTCTCAAGAACAATAGCAGCAGTGTTTATTAATCTGACATATAATATAAACATCTCCCCGTTGCTTTTCCTTAGATTAAATTGAGCTAACATATAGCTGGTGAAACGTGAAATTACAGTTGCTGTATATTTATTGTATGGGATTTGTTACGAGGTGCAAAATCACATGTTAAATCTTTCAAATTCTGTCAAAGCAAATTATATTACTACGAATATTATCTGACGTATAACGCAGTTCCACACAACAAGACTAGTGTGTCTTTTTTGTTGTTTCTTTTATCAGTTGTAAAGAGTCGGCGCCAAAATATGTCGATTCAGAGATCGAAAGTTACTCTTGCTTGTGTCTAGACGGTGACGAAATACTCCTTGTGAACGAAAGATTTAGAATTTTTCCTAGAAAGAGTAGTTCGAAGGTTTGAAAAACAATTCCAAAAAAATAAATTTGCTTTTAACTATCATTGCACATATCCTATGTATACATTTTCTGGAGATAATAAAAATATACATAATAGTTATTTTGCAATTATAATCAAACCTAAACCTACAAATTTCTCTTTAGATCTGTCTTTTTAAGTTCTTAGATACGTTTAAATTACATTCCTAATGTAAAATAGGGAGAAAAAACGTTCATGAGAAAAGTATCTGCAGAAATGTATAGCATACTCAAACATCCCACAAAAAAAAGTTAGTTTGGCATTTGGATTTTACTCAATGAAAATATAAATTCACTAAGATAGAGAGGAAGGAAGTACAAACAGGTAAAAAAAGAAAATAAATTTTGAATATAATATAGTTTTGAATAGCACTCAGCGTGGATTTAGGGTTTTGTTTGTTTGTTTGTTGAATTTTGTGCGAAGTTACTAAAGGTTTACCTACGTTAGTCATCCCTAATTTAGAAGTGATAGATTAGAGGAAAGGCAACTAGTCAACATCACCCCTCGCCAACTCTTGAGCTACTATTTTACCAACGAATGGTAGGATTAACCGCTACATTGTAATGCCCCTACGGCTGTAAGGACGAGTGTGTTCGGTGTTGGGATTTAAACTCGCGACTCACAGGTTGTGAGTCGAGTGCCCTAACTATGTGGCCATGCCGGGCTCTCAAAGAGTAAACATTGAACAATTATTGACTGGTTATGAGGGTAACAAGTGATCTTTTGGCCGAAATCCCCATTCAATAATTGTTTTATTCTACCTCTCCCTCTTCTATTTTAACAAGATCTGATGTGGTGTGATCTAATGGTTTGGGGTGATGTAGTGTGATCTGATGGTGAGGGGACAATGTAATGTGATATAATGGTATAGGTTCACCAAATATTGAAACATATGTAGGTTTTTAGCAAGATAGAACAGTGTTTGATTTTCGTTATCCGAAACGGTCACCTTGACTTTTTTAAAGGCTAGAAACTTTATTATTCTTAAGGTAAAGGAACACGTCGATAAGTAATTATATTTATACATTTGTAATCATACACTCTACCTTATTAAAGAAAATAGTTATACTTTATGGTTTCTTACATCATTTTAATAAAATCTATACCTGTTTACTTTTGAAATATAAAAGTACAATATATCAAAGGTATATACATACATATATATAAGAAGGTAGTCTTAACTCACTTGATGATAGCAAATGATTACACGTAAAAACGTTAGAGTTTTATGTATTTTAACTACTAGAATATAAAATAAAAACACATAAGGGTTAGTTAGTAATATCTGAAACTCAGTAAAAAAAAGACATTAACTGAGAAAACAGTAAAAATTGGTCAATTATTTTAATACAGTGATTTTGGCTTTTACCAAAACATAATAACAGAAATATAGTTCTGCTAATATCTCAGCTATAAATCACACAGAAAAAAGGAAGATGAAACCTTAACGACTTCGAAAGCGTTAGTTTCATCAGTTTTTACAACGTTGTTTACCAAACTTTTTTGATCAGGCGTTGGTTTTAGTTAATATTCAAAATGTATAATATTTAGTGTTGTTTACATAAAATTCCAAATCTGCAATTGAAATATTCTGTAAATTATGTTCTACCCTCTAGCATGAATTCTTTGCCGTGGTTGGTCGAGATCGCACCACGTTGTATGAAACATTTTAAATGTTGCTTGAAGAATAACCCTCCAATACATAGCTATCCGAACAGCCTTTCGCCTACCCAGGTACACAACACCCTGTTATTTAGACTCACTAGATGTAGTTCCTAAAGTTAAAACGCAAATACGTAAACTTGCTAAAAAATACTATCGCGTAGTAACCAATCGTAACACTCTAACCATGCAATTCCCTATACTAGCTGCAACCGTTGCATCATGGCGCACCCACTCATCTCCTTATCATATGTGCAACATGTAATATACTAATCATATAAGATCTTTGTTTCGTTTCAGCACCACAGTTCAGGCACTATTCAGATAGATTATTCGGCGTCCGGGTAGTGATAGTGGGTTTTTCTCAGGGTACTCCATATTTCCTCCCACATCAAAATTATGGGTATTGGATCTACAGATCCCCACCCGTTGGGTTGTCCTACTCTCCAGTTACGTGTAAAATGAAAAAGTGGCTAACTCAAGAGTTGGCTGTGATTTTTCCGAGTTTTTGCTTGCCTGACCGCTACCTCATGGCTAAGGCTAGTCAACAAATCGTATCAATGTTGCCCGGTTGTCAAAGTCGTTGCCATGCGTGCATAACTCGCTGCACAGCTCTACAGATGACAATTTGTTGCAGCATAGTGAGAATTCGCTAATTACTTTAGGCCTAATTACAAAATGAATGCGGACATTTTGTGTAATGTTTCCATTACTCACAGATGAAGAGCTGCAGAGTCGTTTAGGCAACAGAACTTTGCAAACAACAGTTTTTTGCAGCAAGTGAAAACAAGTTAATTTACTAACAACGTCGAAAATTTTATCACCATTCTAGACAAATTTTATGTTGAAATTAGATAGGTGTGTACTTGATACATTTATTGGTACGATGGCATGATGATGAAAGTTAGATTCTGAAAATTAAACAATTTTCAATGTTACTGATATATTATTGATTGACTATACCACCTACCATCCACGCTAAGGGATTGATTACCACATTTTTAATGTACCCACAGCTTAAAGTGCAAGGAATATTTTCTGGTATTGCATGGATTCGAATCCAGCTAGCTTACTCTGAAATCCAGAGCTCTACCACAGGGCCAACCCACGCCACCATTATATTAGGATGTTGTGGTATAACCATCATGAAATACCCAAATAAAAATAATCTATTTTACCAGTTAAACTAGGAGAGAGCTCAGTTTAGG